TTTTAATCTATTTTGTGTCATCAGATGTAATTATGTGACTAACGCTAAAAATTTTTAAAGGAAACCTTTACCACCACAGGCAAGACAAGGTTTAAACTATATTAATATTGAAAAATTGAATAACAAATTGTGCTTCCTTCAGTTATTTGAAAGTTTATTGGCCCTTGGTTCTTTAGAGAAGCTCTAAATTGCAAGCAATACTTGTACGAAGTGAACTAGTGAGAAAAAGACTGGACAACTTACAGTTGCAATTGAATGTACTTACGGTGGTCACTAAAGTCATCTACCAAGATGATCTCTTTGATTAGGTGCTCCGGGCTCCTGTTGAGAACGCTGAAAACAGAAAAAATTGACGTGAACGTATCAAAGGCACGGTCGTTTAGCATATTATTTATATAAATACTATATGCATTTGAAAAAAGTACGAATCTGAAGGATTCGTAAGGAATAGTGTTGTCGGAGTAGCGTTGAATTCAAGAGCAAACACTTTAATGAAAATCAGCACTTTATTCCTAATCAATTACTAATCATTACAAAACACCTTCTCTTTTCTTTCATTCCTTCAAATTTCAAATCAACTATTATTAACTTACAAGTTATAACAATAATCAGTACGCATTATAAGTGTACAATTCTAGGTAGATAAAGTAGTTCGACAAGTAGAGCTAGATACTTCCAACGCTTGTATCTATCACTACGCCTAATACTGGGGTTAAGAGCTCGACGATCGGGCACGGACTGACTATGGGCAACGCTCTCACGCAGTAAGCCGCTGCTCACTTTACATTACAATAGCTTGATTGGACGCCGAAATACAATGAGTCGCTTTGGAATTGGCTCATAACCACTCGTAACTAACCAGACACGGGATAATTTGAATTCAATCAAGCTGAAATGTCATAAATTCTGAACAGTATATCATCTTGATCCAAAGAGATTTATAGCTACGGGAATGACGATTCATGGCAACTAATTAGTCTGAATTGATAAAAAGTATAAGGAGTCTTTAGTGCAATAATGATCTTAGACTTTTTTATTGATGGAGGATACTATAAAAAAAATTATTACTACTATTATGTTTTAATACATATCATATACAATACATTATTAAATAAATTGGAAATTGTTTACACACCCCTGGTAGAAAATTACTACATAACCTGGCTAAAACTCGCCAATGTACATGCGTAAACGGGCTTATAACATTTTGACGAGTTTCTAGCCAGTTTATGTAGTAACGATTCTACCAGGGACCCAGAATGCAAAATTATGATGTGCTTTTGTATATTTCATACAAAAGCCTTGCGTATTGATACTAGAAAACTGGAAACGGTTTTATGAGATACAATTTCTGAGGTGCAAAGTTATATGAAATCGATTTTTAAACGTCAAGTTTTTTATACTGCAGTGAGGTTTTATGTACAAAAACTTTTGAAAAAAGTTCAACTTCTTCAACCGATTGATCATACCAAATCCATTCCATTTTCACTTAACATCACTTAACATAATGAACAAAAAATTGTTCTTGTATTATTTGGTTACTAAGAAGAAATCAATCTTACGAGTTGAAATAAGTTTACTACCAAATATTATGTATGGTGAATCAAACGATATGCGGTAACTTTATTACATACTTGTAACATAACTTGCCTGGGTCTTTTTTTTAATTTTGCATTTAACCTTCAAACCTTCATTACATAAGCAATAAGGAGGTTATTTTATGTTAAATTTTGCAAGACATTTTTAATTAAGAACTGTACACGATGAGGCATCAATAATAAGAAGCGTATAAATTATGCATCTTGAAAGTGTCAGAAATGTAAACTGTAAATAAAAAAACTGTTTGATAGTACTGACATGCACTTTTTAAATGTTAATGTATTCTAATTAATCATCTAAATTTGAAAGAGTATATGAAGGTAGAATTATGAAAACAATATGGCCATTTACATTAGAAAGCAAATGTGAACATCATTACAAAATTGACGATAAATATTTTTTAGTTGTCCATAAAAATGTTAATTTCAAAGGTTTTAATTACAACTTCTGCACATACTTAAGTTCAAAGTACTCTTTCACTAAAAAATTAAAAAATAGAGCCTGGCTACCGCATATCATTTGATTCATCATTCATGATATTTGGCAGTATACCTATTTCAACTCGTAACATCGATTTCTTCTTATTAGCCTATCAATGCAAGAACAATTTTTTATGTTTATATTATCAAAATTTTTGGCAGAAGGGATACTTATTTAAAAAACATAATTGTAGTACAACAAATTTGCGGGAGAAGTTAGAACTTTTCCATAGGTTTTTGTACGTAAAAACCCACTATAATATAAAAAAAACGTGAAATTATACAATCAATTTCATAACTTTGCAAGTCAGAAGTTGTATCTTATAAAACTACTTTCAGTTTTTCAGTATAAATCACTTATACGCAAAGCTATTGTATGAAATAGAAACATAGAATATCATAATTTTGCATCCTGAATGTTTTAACGACTTGAAATCTCAAAAATATGTAAAGAAAAGTTCTAAAAATCATTGCAATCGCTAGCCGCGAAAACTATTCAACTGACTTCGCTGGAATTTCGCAAACTAATTCTTCACACTTCTTAGATAGTTTCGTATGGTTTTTATCTTGAAAAATTAATAAAAACAGCAATTAATAGGCTCTAAGTTTTGAAAAAATATGCTAGCTTTTGACTTTCGTTTAGTAAGATTCACTAGATGGTGTAGAAGTGAAATCGATGCCACCTGCAATCGAAGTAAGTGGGTCTGGTTATAAAATCTTCAAATAAATGATCGATTATCATAGCAGTTCACTGGCAGTACATAAAGATCAGAGTCATGCAGCTGGGTAACCCGGCTACCAACGTCACTTTTCTCCAACGGACAAGCGACTTATGTCGAATTCCATCATAAACCGCCAAAGTCATCGAGTGCAACAAAAAAATAGGCGTTCTGAACGCCATTGTCTCCAGCGTTGTATCTGAAGACGTCGAGCCAAAGCGCAATCTGCTCCAACACTTTAAGGTTTCGTGGCCATTCTTCCAATTAACCTACTGCTACCAGAGAACGTTTCGCTACATCAACAAGCCAGGGAAAACAACCCTGAGGAGTACGGGCAGCCACATCCGCTGAAAATTTTATCAGCATCCTCCTTAGTGGCTTGTCCTCATAACATACCCACAGAGAAGGTAGTCTCCAGGCTTACTTCTCGGACCAACAGTGAGCGGTTGGTTATCCAGGGAAAGATCTGAAAAAGAGATATTTTTCGGCAAGCTGCGTACCTCCCTCCAGCATGATGTCTGTAGGCAAAGACTCCGAGAATAAAAGTCAAGTAACTCTCAGCTGACTTTCCATCATTGAAAATAATAATAAGGAATGACTAGAAGTATCACCCCAGCCACCAACGACCATGCATTACCCTTTTAACTCCACGCACTCAACCAGGAATCACCAATCCTCTCCAAGGTCTGCACTGGGTGAACATGACAGTGAAAGTATAAAGGAGAAACAAACTTGAGCAAGTGGGATATTGGAAATATGCCTGTACTACGTGACATGCCTATATATACATCACACTGAGAAGAAAAGTAGTACAGGCCTTATGGAAGACATTAAGTTTTTATTTTTTTTCGTGGTAGAAAAAGTGTTCAACACATACAGTTATTCAAATTTATATTTTTAACATTATCAGAGGTAAGTTAATATTTTTTTTATGAAAGAAAATCGCTTATTAAGGCCGAAAATTTTTTTTCAAAGTACGAAGTACAGTTTAACCTATCATCAAGCTACTTGTTTACCTCTGAGCAGGCGCAACAGCGACAGCAGCAGCAGCAGAAAAGAGTAGCTCAATGTAGGGTTAACTATACTTCGTACCTTAAAAAAGCTGTTTAAGGCCTTAATAAACGATTTTATCGTATAAAAAACATAACAACCTAACTCTACTAAAAATATGTAATCCAATAACTTTTTGTATTCAACACTTTTTCCACCACGAAAAACAATAAAAACCTAATGTCTTCCATAAAGCCTGTACTACTTTTCCTATCAGTGATATACATATATATATATCACCATGTCACGTGGTACAGGCATATTCTCAACAGTTCTCAACAGGCAAGCGTCATGAACCAATCTTCCCACCTCTGATTACCAAAATGGCTGAGCTCTGAAAAAAGAAGGTGCTTTGGACACCAACTTATCCGGCGGAACCCCAGAAGACATTGGGAAAAAGCACTAAAGAAGACCACCCTGAGGTATCCAGGCAGTCACGTGTGCTGAAAACTTCAGTCAAAAAAAAGTTTAGCTAGCTGATCCTTGCTTAGGGTAATCGAATGTCAAACTACCTTACCAACAAATATAATACAATTAATAAAAAAGAGAAAATATAGCCCTCAGAGCTCACAAAAATTATAACAATGCCTGCAATCACAAGAGGGCGTATTAAAAGTAAAGCTTTAAATGCTTCAAATGTACACAATTTTAGAAGTTTATAAACTGACGCAGAAAATTTATCAAGATTAAATCAGCATCGTCAAAATTGACGAATTAGCTTCCTATTATAACGATGACAGCAATCAGTTGAATCCTTCAGCTTTTTAAGCACGTAGAATAATATGTATTTGTATTTATTGTGGCGATCAATAATAAAGAGATAAGGCTTCAGGACTTTGTGGCTCTGGTAATGAAGTTTTTAAATTGAAAAAAAAAATTTTTTTAATAATATATATATTTTTTGTTAGTTTTCAATCTTGACTATTTTGACAAATAGCTCTTGACATGTATTATAACGTTAGAAAGTGCAAATCAATGGCCTTTCAGGCCCAACAACTATTTTACGTCATAAGAAACAAACGGTACTTTTCAGCATCGTAATATTTAAAAAATCTTACTTATAGCTCATTATTTAACTAAAACTCCAGGGATCCCAAACAAAAATTTTTTTAATTAGAATGACGTGACAACGTACTACGGTGATCCACTCGGTAAATCGGGTGAAGCTGGATGTGGGGCCGCTTCTTTATTTAATAATGTATTTCATGTTACAATATGTTATAATACATAAGGATAGTGATATTTTTTTTTTAAAGATAACACAAGGAAAAGCACATAATTGTGAAAATCATTAGTTACCTTTTTTTCCTGTAAGCTTGTCTAACCTTCCATTTTTATTGAAAGATAAATTTTACGGGGATATTATAACTTGTTAGAGAATACCATTTTGGGTTTTTTTTTTACATTTATTTAGCTGATTTAATTAATTACATGGGTTAAGATTTGCACAAATACGTAAAAGGTGAAAATGTTGCTAATGCCAATCCCATTTTTTACTGTGCTATAAAGGCACAATCTTCAAATGAAGTAAAATTAGTGTGTTTGACGTTTAAAATCCACTGACTTGTATGAACCGCCTCACGAGTTGAGAGTAAAAATAGAAAATAACGGATTAAAAGAAACTTTAAATTATTATTACTCATAATAAAAATTGAATCACTATATTTTTAACGTAATGAGTAGATTGATTATTTTGTAACGAAGCTCATTCAAACAACCTAATGTATTTTTCATTTAACTGTTTTTATCATCTCTCTCTTTTTATAAATTAGCAAAGTCCAAATATTTCAAGAGACATTTATTTAACAACCTAACTTTGCCTAACTTATACAGTCAATTATTACTTATTGCTTACAAAAATCATCGAAGCGATGTGCGAGTTACTTGTATTTTTATTCACTAATTCTTCAATTTACCGCAACCAAAATTATTAATTATTTATGTATGATTAATTATGCCACAAGTTATCGATTTAGCTTGGGTATACAGGTTGTTATCAAAGGAGGTCCGAAAACTACTGGTTACCTACCTTATCAATTAGATCGTATATTCATAATTGCTTGTATTAATGCCTGTTTTATTTAACATCATGTAAATTAATTTTAATTCATTCATTTTCTTACTTATATTATACGGTGAAAAAACGCAAAATAATTTCATTCTTAAACTGTCTGGATTCTCTTTTCTTGTTTTTGTCTACCAAAGCTGCAAATTATGTCACCAAATGTAGGCTCAATTAATTATTGGATAAGATAAAATTAGGTCGCAGCAGTACTTGTTTTTCTCATAAAATAGCTATTGATAATATAGCTGACTAATTAAAAGTACGTAATTATTGATGTAGAAAATTTTAATTATCTACAAATTACCCATAATTACTCATTTATAATCCATACTTATTTTAAAAACAGTGAAGTTGTGTCACATGTGACACACCGCAGAAGTGAGAATTTGGAAAATAATTGAAATACGTTTGAGTTGACAGAAGGAATAGAGTTTGTGAATGAAATAATGAGGAGTTGAAATTTATAGATACTTAAATAATATAATAAACATGTTAAATGATATGCGCGCCAGATACTTGTACTGTGGCCATAAAGGTCCAGTATTGTGCCTAATAAGTGCACTGACATAATGCTAATTAAAAATAAAGTTTTTTACTTGGAGTATTAATCCACTAGTAGCGCTGCCTGCTGGATGAAAAACGTCCTTGACATGGATGCAGAGGTAGCGTTTAAATATATATACTACGTAAGACTATTTTTTAAATGAAATCCTATTATAAAAAGTAGATAGCGATTTGTATAGAATCTAAAGCTTGATTATATCAAATTAAGCCTATGATTTTACAAAATGTGCTGAAGTAAATAGTAAGATTAAAACGTTAATTTGATGGAGAAATGGTATACTGAAGCTGTCCATAGACGCCACTGAAGTCTTAGTTGTCTTCATGCGCATAGTTAAAGTATCGAGTTGTCTTCCGCTAACACTGGAGCATCTCATATGTATGTGTGTGTGTGTGCAAATACTTTTAATACCTCTTATATTTTCAGTTTTTTACACTTTTGAAATATTTTTTTTATTTTTTTTTTTTTTTTTTTTTAGATGTGCAAATAGTTTCAATACGTTTTACTTTTTCATTTATTTTTACGCTGTTTAATATTACTTTTTCCGTTCGTGGAGGACTTCTAATATATTTAAGGTAGTTTTATGGCATTATTATTTTTGGAAAATATTGTTATAAATGTCCTCTCTATCACAACTTTCTATTCTAATTTTTAAAATGTGCAAAACTAATGAACCATACCTTTTTATTCTTATTTATTTTTTAGTTTTAATTTATCGTTAACTGTTCAATGAAATGGCTCAGATGCCAACTATTTTTCCTACTAGGGGCAAAGTAAACAAAGGGAAAAAGTATCCAAAGTAAGGAAAAGCTTTTTTACTCTGATCTATGAGTAAGTGATCACAACTACATCGAGTTTTATGTAATCGAATGATACCAAAGGTAATTAACAACTTTATTTTTGGATTAAAATTTGATTAAACATTACCTCACAATTGTTCTCAGAAGAGTTGATCGAGCTTCATTGTGAAAAGTAATGATCACAGAAGTTGGTGGCAGATCATCCCTCCACCGTTTTAATCGACACCTGAAACATAAAACATCATATATTTTGCACTTGATACATGAGAGGTAAACATTATTTCAAATATAATTGTAATATTTGTGTGGAGAACTGTATTATAGGATATGGTAAATGTTAGTTAGTTGCTAATGAAAGATGATTAAATTTACTAACTTGTAAGCGCAGAAAAAACCATAAGGGAAGTGGGTGCAGTCAACTCTGTGTATTCGTGACAGCAGCTTACATTTTATTTATATACTTATTAAAATTACAGGTTTGGGTACCTCAACAAGTTTAGCGCCACCAACATTATTTCTCTGCAAGACATGGTGCTGTCTGCTCACATAGTCGCTCTATCTATCCCACTCCCTCCCCCAATCCACTGCTCTACAACTTAAAACTTAACCTGTAACAGTGTAGTAACAACTAACAAGCAGAGTACAAATTGTCAATAATTTCGTAAACTGAATAATTGTTTACTTTTGAGAATCACGATTGCTTAATCTTGGCTTTATTAACTGTGTAAATGTAACTAATAGGTTTTTTTACGTTCAGTTAGCACACAGTGTGAGGTTAGATCATGCAATTTATATGTGTGTTGCGTATGTATTCACTACTGAGGTATTACGCTATTGTTGCCGAGTTTATCATCTAATCAACAGTAAGGTCAGTAGAAGCTCGTGAACTAAAATTGGTAAGAACTACTTAGTTTACTCGCAGAATTGCTCAAATTTTTACCAGGGACACGAGTAAAACCTTACCCAAAATAATTATTTGGAGCCACATTGAGTTAATGTGGCGATTTTAACAACTTTTTTGCAGTTTGTCACGCTATTGAGAAAAAGAATTGAATAAAATAAGAACACTTCTGTTTTACAAGGAGGGTCAAGGGACAAGGCAAGGTGGCCTTGCTACTAGTCAAATCCTCAAAACTTTGTAACGTAAGATTATATATGTATCTACTGATGAGGTGCTATCGTACGGTATATGAAAAGGAATTTTTTCATAACAAAAGAAGAAAAAAAAATTACTTGTCTTATGACTTGTAAATACTCAGACTAATTTTATTTTTCGACAGTTGTATACGTGTTGACTTAAAAATTGCTATTAAATTATTAGCACAAAGCCATTTCCTTTTTTTCTATAACTCTTATTTTTATCGAGCCAACCTATTTTACGAGTTATTTTTAATTTTAAATCTTAAAAATAATTAATTTTTAACTACTTCTTTATTGCAATTTCTACACAATAACTTAAGTTTTGTTCTGAAAATTTTTTGATTATAAGACATCCAAAACCCAATTTGATAAAATCTAAATAAAAAAAAGAATATAAATTATAATTTCATCATGTAGTAGTCATGCCCAGAATACATAAATAATGTGCTACTTTTACCAAAATATACTAATGAAATCTTACTAATATATAAAACAAATTCGCTAAAACCGTTGTAATCGCTCACCGCGAAAACTACTGAACCGATTTTGCTGAAATTTTGCACACTGATTCATGATACTTCCTAGATGGTTTTAGTATAGTTTTTATCTTGAAAAATTAAAAAACAATAACAATAAATGAGCTCAAAGTTTTGCAAAAATACACCAGCTTTTCACATAAGTTCAGTAAAATCCGCTAGGTGGCGTCGACATAAAATCAAGGCTACCTGCAACAGAATTAAATAAGTGTGGTTGAAATAGGCCAGAGCGTCTTGGTAACTGATGCAGTCGTGCTTCGGCAGTAAAACGAGCTGCATAGACAATGGAGATTATAGTCCTGCAGCTGGATATCCCGGTTACGGACGACACTCTTCTCTTAGGGGAAAGGGACCTACATTTCCATTCACCCTGAATCTCGACGAGTGCGATCGAAAATAAAGTCATTCCAACCGATGACGTCTCCGGCACAATACCAGAAGACATATCTAGCCAGAGCATAATCTGCACCAACTCTTCAGAGTTGTGTGGCAGTCCTACCATCTCGCCTGGTACAGTCAGGATTTTTTTGCTACAAATGTAAGCCAGGGAAAACAGCTCTGAGGAGCACGAGCAGTCACAATGGCTATCTTCGTAGTCATCGCGTCCCCAACGCGCTTACCCACATGTTCCCGTCTAACGATGAGCGGTTGGTTATCCGGGGCACGATCCGAAGACGAGATATGCTTGAACAGCAGCGTACCTACCTCCATCACAGTCTCCGTACATAGAGACTCCCAGCGTAAGAATCAAGCTACCCGTAGCCAGCTCTTCATCATCAGGAATAATAATAAAGAATAGCCTGGAAGTTTCACCACTAGCGCTTTTTAGGGCCATTATAAGTATTTACGTTCCCTACTTAACCATCAATTTCATTGGTTCTTTGTAGGGGCCACCTAAATGTAAACTACCTTGCCAACAAATACATTTTTACTACCATTTACAGAAGCGATTTGTCGACTAAAAGACTATATTAAATAAAGACAGGCACTATTGAACCAAGTCAGCCATTCACTGGCAGACGTCACCTGCGGAGTTGTTCTTCGCAAGGCTGGAAAACCCGGTGACCGACGACTATATATTACCCTCTCGACTCTAAACATTTAACTAGGAATACCTGATCCTCTCCAAGGTTTGCGCTGGGCAAACCTAGAACAGCTATGAAAGAAAAAAAAATTAAGCCAACGGGACAGCCTTCACTAGACAAGTATCACTAACCAATATCCCCATCTAAGATCACCAAAACAACTGAATCTGCAAATAAAAAAGATGCTTTAGACACCAACGTCTTCGAGGTTATACCGGGAAACGTTGGGAAAGAGCACTGCAACTAGCCCCAAAGCTTCGGACTTTGTAATTTTTCTCCTGATCAGTCTGGGTCTTCAACAGCAGGCCAGAGAAGATCACCCTGAGGTATCCAGGCAGTCACAATTGCTGTTAACTGCAGTCAAGAAAGAGTTGACTTAAGAAGCTCACCGGTCTTTTTTAGGGCCATCAGACGTCGAACTATCTTGCCAACAAATATATTAGAACTTGACAAAGTTGACAGAAAAGACTCTTTAGGGGTCACAAAAATTTTAAGCATACCAAAAGTCGCAAGAGGGTGGATTGGAAAAAAAACTTCAAACGTATCTAATAAATACAATTTTACTTAGGCGTCAAGAAACTGTCGCAGAAAATTAGCTTTTCATTGTACTCTCACAGTAATCTCTTAAATCTTTCAGTTTTTCAAATAAGTAGAAAATGTATTTTTATTTTTGTGGCGATAAAAAATGTAGAGATGAAGCTCCAGATCTGGTAATGCAGTTGTAAGGTAAGAGAGAAAAAATTTTTTTCAGTATATATTTTTTAGGTATTTGAAATCTTAACAGCTTCAAAAAATAGCCTTTTTCGTAAATTATACGGAAGAAACTGCAAATCAATGGCCCCTTATGCCCAACTATTATTTTATGGCATAAGGAACGCACAGTTCTTTACAGCATAATTATATTTTTTTCACTTTTTACAGTTTATTATTTGACCCAATAAACTGTATGGATTCAGAACAAATATGTTTTTTACAAGAAGATTTTAGTTCTGAGGAGTGTCAGGAATATATGTAAAATTTCCAACTGAAATTCACGTTACATGTCAACACACTACGGTGTTTCATTTAGTAAGTCTCGGGCGAAGCCGAGACGGGGGGCTGCTAGTCTTTAAATATTACTGATTGTATACATATGTCTTTTTACACCCACAAATGTAATTTCTTAAATGTTTATTTTTATATTTTTTGTCAACAGTCGCAGGTACCCAGAAAATAAAAATATGTGTGAACGCTTATTGAAATCGTTCGAGTGCACCTTGAAATATGACCAATGAGATACATACACACATTTGCAGACAGAAACTTTTTCCAGAGTACTCTACTTCGACTCTAAATTTCAGGAAACACATTTATATCATGTTATTCCTACGTTTTAAAGCATTTCAAGCGACTCTGAGCTCCAAATTAATATTTTTCAAACAGTTTCAAATAAAGTCAGGCATAATATAATCATAATTTTTTTTCGTCCTTAAAAAAAAGCATTTTTCTGTTCAGTGGTTTATAATACATGATGTTAATACCAGTAGGATTTTGTCGGCGCTTTAATGGTAATAATGTGCTTTTTGGATTTATCTTCGATGGGGATAAAAGACTTCGTATGCTGGTGCGGTAATTAATATTACAGGCTTCTCAATACAGTAGCACTACAGAATTGCTGTCAAGGTTTACCTAAACCTTGATAGGGCCGTAATCGCCCACGATCTGCTGGACCAGCTTACACGTGCCCGGGGTGTGGACTTGCTTTTGTAAATCAGCCATCCCGCACGTTACCGAACCAGGGCTGGTACTGCGACGGGATGAAATGCGCGGCCATCCTGATCCGCAGCGACAGGCTCTCCGTATCCGACACCGGAGGTGGAGATGGTTTCGTGTGAATCAGGTGTGGGAGTGTATACTTTGGGAGTTGCTATATTTCCCCTAACATTCCGATTGGCGTTTTTAGAGGGTGGCTTGCCGAACTCGAGAATGCTGTTCGCGTGTGTGGGGAAAACGGTAACGTAGTCCTGGCCGTCGACTTCAACTCCAAAGCCATTGCTTGGAGGAAGCTGAGAACCGACTCCAGGGGGCGGGCGGTGCTAGAGATGGCCACAAGGCTAGATCTCATAGTCATGAACTCTAGTAGTTCAGCAACGTACAGGCAGCCGGGTAACCGGGGCACGATCATCGATCTTACGCTGGTGTCGTCACAAATGGTGGCACGGGTGTCTGACTGGCAAGTCCTGGAGGACTATACGGCTAGTTATCACCAGTGTGTCAGCTTCGTGTTAAACGAGAACTGTAGAGAAAGCTCGCGAGAAGTAATCCGAAGGCGCGTTATCGGGTGGAATGTGGCAAAACTTAATCGAGATTTGCTGCAGGAAGCCATGGTAAGTGCGCTCCCTCCTGTTGATTTAAGCAAGATCATAAATACAGTAGAGGTCGAAGCACTCGTGAGCGGCACTATGATACGGGTCAAGGAATGGTGC